GGATGGTCGAACCAGGACGGGCAAGCTGCGAATACCTGAGAGCCATGAAACATGAGATGTAGCCGTCTGGATACCCCCGACGAAGTCAAGGGACGTGTAGCTATGTCGGTGCGTAAATGCACGACGGGACCAGTCCTGTCGTGTTTTCCAACGATTCTGGAGGGCTTCCCAAGCCAAGCCAAGCGGCACACAGGCTAGTTCCTGTCCCCACCTGCACTCTCGATGGCCCCAAATTTAAGATTCTGTTCTCGTAGCTCCTAGGAGCATCGGCGGCCGACGATCAAAAGACCTTGAAGGAATGGCTTGGTCCAGTTGCATTTTACTACCCCGGACCACAGATGCGTTTACTTGACTCGTGTAGGGTCGGAACAGAGAGGTCATCACCAGATTTGACAGTGAGATCTAAATTTACTAAAACAAAGGGATGATCGATTCTGAGCAGGCCAACGTGGGCAAGCTAGCGTGCCAGCCGATATCCAACTTGAACGACACGCCGTTTGCATCGGCACACCATGCGTTGTGTAAGCGGCACAGTCTCCTTGGACGTGCTTGGGCAACGAAGCGCACCGTGCTTGCGTTTCGCGCTTTCATCAAGAGCGCCGCCATAGCAAGTACAATGGCACCAATCTATCAATCATGTAGCTCAAGGGGACTATTCCAGAGGTCTCGGATGCAACCCACAGGCTGGCGGGCGCGAGAGATACCTCAAGTGTTGCCACAAGTAGTCAGGTGCATTTGATTAGTAATGGGAACTGAACTTTCCGTGGACGCCCCACTGATGATGGCTGCTGGAATCGACTCCCTTGGTGCTACCGAAATGCAAGAGAAGCTAAGCGAAAGATTTAGTCTCGTGCTCCCGACCACACTACTCTTTGACTATCCATCGATTAAGGGAATTGCATCTTTTTTGGTTGAGAGGAGTACTGGTTGGGGCGGAGCTCTGGCAACAGAGACGGCTCTTTCAGCCAAAGAAGAAACAATCATCAACGTGAAAGGGCATCGCCCATCGCCGGAAATGTGGTCGAACAGGATTCTCTCGAAATGGTGAGTAGCAGCAAGTACGATAAGATTTATCTATTTGCATATCAAACTGGGTGGCAAGGTGACAAGGTTTGTCTCCATGCGCGAGCTTGTGATCCGGACCTTGGTCACGGCTTCCGATGTTCCCATTCTTTGATGGGCTGCTACTCGAAACAATGCAGAGAACTATGGATCGTTTCTTCTAAGTCAACTTCAAGTGGATTTTTAGTCATTC